AAACAAGTGTAGCCTCTGTGTACATACATAATTGAACAATTCATGAATATGTCAAGCATTTAGATGTTTCTCAATGATCTGGTATTGACAATACAAGGAGATGATGCCATATGCATGCTTTAGATTTTCCTGTTGGCTAAGGACATTTTCTGGGGGGTCCATCTCGTGTAATTGTCTTCAGATCCATAACTATTTACACAGCAAGGATACTCTGCAAGCTTATTTACAGGCTTAAAACTTTTGGAATAAGGAAATACATAAAATATACGCCTATAGTTTTACCCTCACTTGTAGAAATAGATAAAAGAATCATGTGCTCAGAAGAAAGTGAGTTTTTTTCTCTACATATGTCATTCTCTTACTTTTGAGTATAAGCACCTAAGTGAGAGAGAAGACGGACTTACAAATAATCTTGCCTAATACGCATACCATTCAAACCGCATGACAACAGGGAGTTTGGAAGAGCCCATCCTAACTCCTGCTATAGCTGCCAGAATTAAGCAATGGTCACCCTAGAGGTGAGCATCCTGAGGCCCAGGATTAGATTCAGCAGAACCAAAGCACCCACTGGTGTAGGCAGCTCTGTAGCGTTGTCTTGAGATCCCGCAGCAAGCATAGTAAAGTGTTATATGATGGGGGTAGGGGGTCACTTCTTCAAACTGGTGCTTTTAACACAACCATTTAAAAATCAACTAATTCAGGAGACAAAGAATGGAAAAGAATATAATGCATGAATCCAAGTTCATTAAACTAATGCATTTTTTGAAAAACAAAATATGACAGAACATTTCATTATTGATGCAGATATGAAGAAAAGTGTTATGCTGCTATTTAGAATGTGCCTTGTGTGTCGTGGAATTGAAATATTTCCAAATCATCAATAATTAAAATGATGAGAATCCACCATTTCACTGACATTTACTTCTACATGAAAAGATGGCCTATTTTAAACATGCTCACACATATTCTTGTCAATCACAAGCTGTCACAGCAAATTACTTCATTTTGTAGATCACATGGCAGTTAGCAGAAAATCTCCAGGTTTAAATTTAGATCTTAGGTGTAGTATCAAGAACTCTTCATGGATTTTTTTCTGTGACTACATCTTCACAATACAGCATATAAAAGATGTAAAATCTTATTCATAATACTTGGTTTCACTTCTGGTTAACAAAACTCTGGACTGAAATACATCATTGTAAATGACAACTCTGAAAGCCAAACAATAGAATAGGATATATGGGAAAGAAGGGAAATAAAAAATTTTAAAAAATTTTAAGGCAATCAGAACTCCATATGGAATGGATCTTGAACCTAATGAATCAGGTCCAAACAGTTTCTTCCCTCATCGTTAAGACATTTAAGCAACTGCAGGGCATGAACCATTTCTTGTGCTAGGTTTGCATTGCCTACAGCTTCCAGCAGTTATAAAGGAGCTGAACTCTTACAAACCTCATGAATGTGATGTAAGAATTTTTACTCTGCCACTATTAAGCAGAAGATTCAGGAAACTGTGAATAAAACCTAAATTGTGTGCCCATGAATCTGAAAACTTTTTAAAAATGCCTTTTCAAATAATTCATTAACTACATCTTCACAATTCTAGCAGAATCATTAATAAATTTCAGAATCTTCAAATGCCAGAATTATAAGACGTAGTAAGGTTAATTTATTCATAACTCATTTGGTAGCAGGACATTATTTAGTATAACTAATCCATTGTTTTGTTGAAAAATAATTAATGTACTTGATTATGGGCTGCTACCCCAGACCTTGCTGGGCTTGTTACACAGAGATGATACACGCACCATGAGGGTATATGCACCATATTCACTTTTTTGAAATCCAAAAATTTCTATTTATGGAATCACATCAACAGTCTTTATAAAAAATATTTCTGTTTTCCCCATATACAATTGATCTTTCTGCTTAAGCATTCAACTTCACAATGTAAGAATTATTCTAACATTGCATTTCAACAGGGAATGCTTCATGTCACTCTTGACCTTGGCCTGACCTCTATATGAAAGCTTTGTGTTTTGAGGTATGTGATGAATAGCTCTCTGGCTTTCTATTAAATCCAGTGCCACTGGTTGTCAACAGTGACGCTCAAAAGGGGTAGTAAAGTCATTAAGAATCAGCGATGTCCTGCAGGTCTTCTACCACCTTACTAAATCTGGAAATAGCTCTAAGGCAATTTTCACTATCTACACTGCTTTTCCAAAGAATAAGAAAACCATGAAGTATGGAAATATATTTGCCAAAATACACATGGACTTATTTGGCCTTCCTGTGCCAGAAATAAAGCAAACGTTCCTTTGGGGACCCACTGGGTTTACACTGTTGAAAACTGTTCTCAGTTTGAAGGACTGATGTATAATTTATTGACCCAGTTTAAGCTCCTCAAAGACCAGCACTTCTGTCCCTCTGTCAAGACTACACACATAAGAGATACTTAATAAATATTTGTTGGTTTAAATTTGGATTGAACTGAACTGAACTGGGTTTGAAATCAGAGATGAAAGAATAACAATAAAAAAGAAATCAGACTGAGCCCCTTTTCTCACGTGTCTCTGGTCTGGCCCAGTACCTGGCACAGAGTAGGCTCTCAACGAATGTTTGCTGAATGAATGAAAATCAGTGTATGGAAATAATGACCAGTTCCTGACTCTAACGCCTGGTGGTTGGTTATATATAAAATATTCATGCTCATTTAGAAAGATACAACAGTAACACCCAATTTACCTTCTTACCTTTAGAATGTTCAATTTTCCACCTTCTGAGAATGCCTCCTTACTCTAAATTTATCTACCATCTGCAGAGGTTCTCATACATGTTTTATTTTTATGGTACACTCACGACAAGAAGTTGGCAAAGTATTGGTTAACTATAAAACACATGCAAAAAAGGTAATTTTAACCTGATTTCAAAAATTATATGTGAATATGTGGGTGATACATAGATATATATGAAATCTCCCGCTACTCCTCTCAAATTATCTAAATCAAGTTAAAGATTACCATATGTATACACATACAGAGACTATTTATTTACATTTATATTCTAACGTTCTGAAAGAAGCCAAACAGTCTTCAGGCTTACAGGCTCATCTGTGAGCTTAACTTAGACAAGAGGCTTTTTCTCCATTTCACTTATCCTAAGCCTTTTTAATGGACATGTGATATGCTAGTCTGTGTCCAAGCTCACCTACAATTTCTTTTCTCAAAAGACAAGGCACATCTGCCACCTGCTCTATTCCGTGTCCCAGCAACAACTGTCGAGCAGCATAAAGATTGATTATCAGTCAAAAACCATTGCACAACACCAGATTTTGGTGGGTTAAGCTTGCTGATCCAGCAAGAGATGGTGTGAAATTTTCAGGAGTGTGTGCCAACATTTTGGCGCTAAAAGAACAGCAGTGCATGTCACAGTGAAATACAGCCAAAGATATGCAGACAAAGCAGAGAAGTTTTTGTTCCGGGCTTGGCTTCAAAAAGGATAAAAGAGAAAACAAAAAGTAGGAGGAAATTAGTTTGTACATTTAAAAACCATCCACCAAGCTTAGTCATGTGTGTAACACTGTTATTTTGGGCATACATGTCCAGGAGATTTTCTAGGAGCTTTTAGCTATAAATAATTTTTATATAGCTCCTCTACAATACCATTATCATATGAAAGGCAAGTATTTCTTATTAATAAAATAATCAAGGATCTTAAGGAACAACTTATTACATATATATCTGAATATAAAAAGTCACAGAAATATTTACCCACAAAGGCTCATGCTTTTATACAAACTGATAATTCAATGAATACACAACAGATCATGCAAGGAATATAAAATATTTTAAAGCAAGATTTGAAACCTCTTTGGGTCTACACCATTGTATAGGTAATTTTTTACTGAGTATGGTAGCAACAAGTTTCTTAACAAGGACAAAATTACCTAAACTTTGTATGGAATTCAAGAAAACATTTCTTTCCTGATGATCAAGTATTATCAAAGAGAGAGAAATCCTAGTACCATTTTATATAATAACGTTGACAGAGGAAGAGTTTTCATCACCTCATCTGTAACGAACTCCAGAATTACTTTTCCTGTACGTATGAACTACTACCTAGACTCGCCTTTGGTTCACCAGCTTCATAGCAGCTGCAGAAGAAAATACTCCCAATAAGGTACAAAAGCCCCGGGGAGCCCAGCAGCTAGGCACACTGAGCCTGGATGGCAGAGTTCTTCTGTCACTTAGATGTGGTCACCACATACAGCACTTGCTAACAGACTTCGGGTGTCACATGCTTGGCATAATATTCTTAGATAATGGTACGTTCATTTTCTCTTAAAATGTATTCTTTCCCACTAAAGAAAGAAAATGTTTGTTTTTTTTATTTTAAAAAATCTCCACATTTCTGAAATGTTGGAAGCAATAGACTTTTAAAAAAAGACTACCTGCAAAAATATCTAACATATATATATTTATATTTTGTATACATAATTAGTATTCTGTATATATGAAAATATATACATACATTTCAAGTTAAAAAAATATGTTCATTACTGGCCACATTTTCATAATTATGTCAATGCCATCTGAAAAAACCCTAAAGTGTAAATGAATAAATGATACTTGAAACTTTGAACTATTTTCTGAGAGAACAAGCCTAATAAGTTATGTCTGTTGAGTGTCACAGAAACTAAACAGTAAATTCAATAATCTCTGATTTAATTTATTATATTTTCACCATTTAACCTCCTGCAGGCTCCCTAATGTCTATTCAGATCTATATTAAATTAAGCACCAATGCTAATGAAGGGCAATAAACGTAGCTGTCAGTGGATTTTTCTTTCATTAAGCACATTATCCTCTTACTGAGCTGTAAATGTGTAAACATTAGTTTTGTTAAACCATGCAAAAAAGACAGGATGAAAATTATTTTTCAGTTGCACCCCTTAAGCAATTTACTGTGTGTGGGGGGAGGGTATTTTTTTTCTTTTTTACCTTTAATTTTTTTGAATGGATCTAAAAACGGCTCTCCCGTTGAAACATACATGTCGGCTTCATGGGGAATGTCTTCAGGTCTGAGGGCTTCAGAGCCGTCTGCCAAGAACACTCGTCTTGCGGCCATGTTCAGATGCAGCTTCTCCGTGCACATCTCCAGCAACTGGAAAAACCAAGAGGGAAGAGAAGGGATTTACAACAAAGAAAGTAACACATTTCCACGAAACAAAAGGTGCTAACGATCAAAATAGAAAACCACTGTCACTTGCCAACCTAAGCAACTCAAGTAACTCCACCAATAGAGTTATTTTCTAGCAGCTGAAAACAGGTAAATAAAAGGTAAATCACCACACTGAGAAAATCTAATGATTGTCTGATTTTAGTCCTTAAATGTTCTGTCAATTTAATAACTCTACAAGATAAAAGCCATTGTATCTGTTTGATCAAATATACGACTTATATATTGATAGGAAAGGAATGAAATGCCTGTGAGATTTATGTATATATAAGCAATTTACAGATTCAGACTACTAAAAAGAACATGTTAACACAATAAATGTCATCTTTCTCATTTTTTATATTATAAAGAGAATAAGCACTGAAAACTTGAACACCAGTTACCAAGGTGATGGTTGGTGCAGTAACTTTGGCACAGACTGCTCTAGATCCATTTCTGTAAGCTGTTACTCTAATCACTCTGGGTGGAGGTTTGTGTCTTTGACATAATCTATGGCAATTCTGGGCTGGCTGAAATTTTAAAGAAGAGAACTCTGCAACTCTGAAGAAAAACACACACAAAAATTGGTTCATGTTAGTTAGCAAAAACATTTAAATAAATATTATCCTGGATATATTTTACAGATATAAGCCCTAACGATTGTTCCTAAGTATTCCTCAAAAACCGCTTTTTATAGGATAAGATTGTCCATATCTACTTAAATATTTTTAAAAAATTAATACGGGATAAGTTTGCCAAAACTGTTCATGTAAAACACATATCTCAGAATAAATCATTTTCATCATTTCACTTATAAAACATCACAACACAATTTTTTAAATTATATATACATATATATATAAATGCTATGTTCTGATAGAAAGCAAAAAATAGCAATGTGGTCTTAACACCATGAAAGAGTAAATGGCTAAGATTTTCCCTGAAATTTTCATGTTTATCAAAGTTCTTTGATTTTTAAAAAAGATTTGAAATTCAACTAGATTATAACTCAATTTTTTATTCTAAAGTTAATGATAATTCCTTTCATTTAAAATTGTTTGGGGGCAGCACGAGAAGACTTCTCAGATTTGTCTTCAGTCAAAACCAGTTTCGTGCCTTATGATTTTCTCTGCAAAGGTACATGGTAAATGACTAATGTGACAATTTCTTACCTGGGAGCTCTGACCGACCCTCCTCATCTCAAGGCCACAGGAGCAAAGCAAACACGTTAAAGTAAAAATTTTAGGTGAACTAAAATCACAATATATCCACCTAGTCAAACATATGAAAATAATGGGATATCAGTTTCTTTTGTTTTTACCAACATTTTCTTCTATGCACAAACTCTCAGGTCAACGGTTTAGATAACAATCTTGATATGAAAACATATACATAAAATGGTTTTATAATAAGTTCATTTCAATTTGATTTTGTTTAGAAATATTGGTTAAATATCAAAAGTACATATTTCTGTTTTTAAACACATATCCAGTACGCAAAGGTATTTCAGGGTCTAGCCGTCTCTGCTTCAAACATGTTTCTCAGAGTTTCAGATTATCCCAGTTGAAGTGTAGCTCATGTTTTCCATGTAATTAACAACATTCTACTCAGGTGCTTTCAAAGAAAACAAATAAACAAACCAAAAACAGAAATAAAACCCCAGAGATGTGTTACAGTTGAATTGAATCTTTGTAAATTCTGCTCAAAGGAATGGGCTTCAACCGCTGGTTGGAAAGAACAGAGAGGAGCTCTGATTACCTCAGTTGACCCGCCGGAGCACTGGCAGGTCTGTTTCTCTTGGATGCTGACATGAAACAAGAATTGTCTCTACTGTTTGATTTGCAGCTATGTGGGTCCGTCACTTCATCATGGCTGTGCCCTGACGCTGTTTGATGTGTGGAGCAATCTTGGCAGCCTGACCCTTCTGATACTGCCGCTGGATGCACACATCTGTTGGGGCCAAACTGAGGCTGCAAAAAATCTTCAGTACTTTTCATAACTGCTTTTGCCTGGGATGACATACACCCCCTGAAAGAAGCGATGCATGAAAGAATACAGTGAACTGTTTTGCAATCACTTATCAATAACTGCCACATAATAATGAGTTGTGTGCTATGTGCTAGACAAAATACTACACACTCAGCCATTATTTTATTTAATCCTTACAACATCCCTGGGAAGTGGGTACTAGGTTTATCCCCATTTTACAGATTTAAGAAATTGTGGCTCAGAGAGGCTAATTAGCTTGCCCAAGCTCACATAATCGGTAAATTGACAGGGTGGGAAATGTAACCCAAGCCTGTCCTAAAATAAAACCCACGCTAACAACCATGAAGCTTAATTGCTTTACTTACTGAAAGAAGAAAGCTTGTGTAATGCTTGAAACAATGTAAGTAAAATTTTTAAGTTTTAGATTCATTTATCAAACACTAGCATTCTGCTAAGTATTAGGAAACAGAAAAGTTAAAGGGATTAAAGTATTAACTTTAAATGCAAAAAGAATTCCTTGGAGCGGAGCTCAGTGTGGGCTGGAATAAAGCTGGTGAAGGCTTCACAGCAGACCGGGGGCGAGGGTGAGTAACCACGCAGTTTGCTCAGGACTGTCCTGGCTTTGGCGCTGAGCCACACATTCCGAGAACCCCCTCAGTCTCAGGCAAACTGGGACAGTTGGTCACCCTACCTGGAACTCAAGCTACAGGAGTAGTATTGCGATTGTCAACAAAAATATCTGGAACACAAGGATTTAGTTAGGAATGCTTTATATCACAAACCAGGGAGATGCAGCGCAGCCTTTGGAACAAATCAAAAGTATGCTCCGGGGAGGGCAGACCTCACAGAGGCAAAACCCTGTAGACCACAGGCGTTGTTTGGAGAGCCCTCAGATTCTTTGGTTCCCTTGTAGACACCGGTGGTCTAAAATCAGCTCTATCAGCCTTCTGGCCGTCCCTCAGGAAGGAACACTCAGTTTCAGGTACAAGCTGCATGTTTTCTGAGAACAGAGTACTGACTGCACCTCGGACCTGGCACAGCTGCTGGACTCCAGGTCCCAGTTAGCCACAAAGTGTCCATTTTGGCGTTCTCTTTTAGGGGTCGTCTGTCTTTTGTTTTAATTCCATAAGATGAACTATGATGTTTGAACAGGGGACGGACGATCTGTAAAGACCATGTTAGGAAGACAGACTGCGTACAGAGTTTGCTGGTATAATAAAACGAAAGGCTCATCATATTTGAGAATATCGAGCTGTGTGACGATCAGGCTTAGAGGACAGTCAGCTTCCAAATCGGCCTCTTTCCAGTTTCCCAGTCCTCAATAGCTCTTATCCATCCATGATATAACCTCCTCACCCACCCAACTGAAAAATAAAGTAGGCTTAGTGAGGAAAGCTCAGCACAGACAGGCCCTCCTCCAAATTTTTCTCATCCACAAATGTCATTGTAGCCGCAATTATTTCTTCTGGCCTGCCCTCTACATGTTCACAAATGTGCAAAATGGTTGATTACTTCCTCTGAAAGAATGAAAGGTAGTCACAGGGAGAATGGATGTGTAACCGAGAGTTGACACGGTCACTGGTGCTAAAACACTGAGATCCAAGCAGGCGTATTTTGTTTTTGTTGTTGTTGTCATCACATGTTTCTACCCAAGTCTGCCCTGGCCTGCGCACAGCACCCAGGAGAGGAGTGGCCTCCCCTACCCTCTGAGGATCCACCCAGCTTCAAAACTGTGGCAAACAGCATCTATCATTGGGCTTTAGCTCCGGCAGAGGTAGGAACTCCCTTCAGACCACCTGAACTTCTCAGATTATTTTTTTAATTGAGGTCATATTGGCTTATAACAGTGTATAAATTTCAGGTGTACATTATTATATTTCAGTTTCTGTATAGACTGCATCGTGGTTACTACCAATAATCTAGTTTGTATCCATCACCACACACACGTGCCCCTTTATCCCTTTCACCTACCCTCCACCCGCTTCCCCTCGGTAACCACTGATCTCTTCTCCTTATCTATATGTTTGTTTATCTTCCACATATGAGTGAAATCATATGGTATTTGTCTCTCTGACTTATTTCACTTAGCATTATACCCTCAAGGTACATCCATGTTATCACAAAAGTTACAATTTTATCTTTTTTATGGCTGAGTCATATTCCACACCACATCTTCTTTATCCATTCATCCATCGATGGGCACTTAGGTTGCTTCGACATCTTGGCTACTGTGAATAATGCTGCAATGAACACAGGGGTGCACAAATCTCTTTGAATTGTTGATTTCATGTTCTTTGAATAAGTACCTAGTAGTGGGATAGCTGGATTATATGGTATTTCTATTTTTAATTGTTTGAGAACTCTCCATACTGTTTTCCACACTGGCTGTACCAGTTTGCATTCCCACCAGCAGTGTATGAGGGTTCCTTTTCTCCATATCCTCTCCAACACTTATTATCTCTTCTCTTGTTAATTATAGCCATCCTCATGGGTGTGAGGTGATATTTCATTGTAGTTTTGATTTGAATTTCCCTAATAATTAGTGATGTTGAACATCTTCTCATGTGCCTGTTGGGCATCTGTATATCTTTTTTGGAAAAATGTCTGTTCATATCCTCTGCCTGTTTTTTTTGATCAGGTTGTTTTTTTGTTGTTGTTGTTGTTGAGTTGTATGAGTTCTTTATATATTTTGGAAATTAGCCCCTAGTCAGATATATGATTTGCACATATTTTCTCCCAGTTCATGGGTTGTCTTTTTAATTTGTTGATGGTTTCCTTTGCCGTGTAGAATCTTTTTAGTCTGATGTAGTTCCACTTATTTTTCTTTTGTTTCCGTTGCCTGAGTAGACATGGTATTTGAAAAGATTCTGCTAAGACCAATGTCAAAGAGTGTACTGCCTATATATTCTTCTAAGAGTTTTATGGTTTCAGGCCTTACATTCAAGTCTTTATTTTGAGTTAATTTTTGTGTATGGTGTAAAATAATAGTGTACTTTCATTCTTTTGCATGTGGCTGTCCAGTTTGCCCACCATTTATTATACTACAAAACTCCAGTAATCAAAACAGCATGGCACTGGCAGAAAAACAGACATGCAGATCGATGGAACAGAATTGAGAGCCCAGAAATAAAACCACACATCTACAGACAGCTCATATTTTACAGAGGAGCCAAGAACACACAATGGAGAAAGGAAAGTCTCTTCAATAAATGGTCTTCAACAAGCTGCTCAGATTTTGACAGCAGTGGTGAGTGGTGGCATGTGGCAGGGGTCACGTCACAGCAGCAGCGTTTTCATAGCAACAGCAAAGGAGCCCAAATGGTCACCAGGCTCTTCAAGCTGGGGAAGAGCAGCACATGGCCAGGAGGGAAGACCTGCAGGTCACATTGACACTCTCCAGGGCCCACACACAGTTTCGTGGAAAGCGAATTCTCATGTAAAAAAAGAAAAGGAATTCTCTACTTAAGTGCAGAATGGAGTGTCTTTTTAATGAATGCACTTTGTTTACTGTCAAATATTTCTACAAATATACTAATGATTTTATGTAATAATTCATTATCCCACCACCACGAAGCAAAAGGTTATTATTTTTCTATATTCCAAAGTTTTGGCCATATCATACCTTTAATTCAATACTTTGCCTTTTTTACTTAACACTGTTTTACAACCATTTTTCAGGTTGTTGTAGTCTTTACAGATTTTACTGGAATGTAATATTTTATCAAGTATATTTTGCCTTCCTCCACCTAGTCATATAGGGGTTATCTATTGTTTTTGTCTGCTGGCATACCTTCCTCTTGTCTTCTGGTAACAGCACTAACATTCTTTTGGGGAACTCTCCATCCCCACCTCTCCCAACTCCATATGATTATGGTAGAGTTAGGACAACAAATTATACAAAATTTACCTGGTAAATGGTAAAAAGAATTAAATTAAACTATATGGTTCTACCATATATTTATTTATTATCTGCTTTTCTGTAGTCACTTATGTCTATAAGGGGAGAATGGGTAGTTTTCATGTTAAAAAGTCACTATTGGCCCACCATTAGTAGTCTTCAGCTTTGATTTATTTTATCAACACTGATGACAGGTTTACACTAGTTCTTACACACTATTGCATTCTTCTCTCTTATAACAACTGATGTGTTTGCTAGTTGTTGGGTGTATGAGAGGATGATCACAGAGCTTGCAAAACTACCTTGTCCCACATGGGAATTAAACCTACACACTTGGCTTGTTAAATTAATGCTGGGAATGTGGGTGTTACGATCATTCAGCTTTCGAGGAACAGACAGGCATTTGGGTTTCAGGTGATGAAGCTTATTACCCGGAAAGTTGTGAAAGGAAATAAAACCACTCCAGCAGGGCAGAAAGAGATTTAGAAGTCCATTCACTGCCCTCCAGGATATACTACTGACTTAACAACGACTCTAGTAGACTGCCACGTTTTTTGACTCGGCAACCTCATCTCTCCTGTGTCTACCTGCTTCTTCTTCCTACATCATTATTGCCCAACCCACCTCTGTCCTCCCTCTCTCTCCCTCATGGTTTCTGCTAACTTCCCTGTGTGTCTACCCATTTCTATACCACACTACCTTCTGTAGACTCTGTCTGTACAACATAGACTCAATTCCCCCCAAAGTTTAATTCCATCACTACCCAGTATAGGGCACCCCTGTTGGGTAGAACTCGAAAGCTAGGCAAGCTCATAAGCCTCTGGCAAGCCAATGAATAGGGAAGTACTCACCAGTTGTCCAAAAAACTATGGGTAGGACAGCAGGATAATAAGGTATAGAGCAGTTAGAGTAAGACAGGCTTTCAAATGCCTCCCTGAAGAGGAAAACACAACTGGCAGGTGGCTTGTATGACCTAGCTAGCAGACTGTGACAAGCAGAGACACTTATATTGACTCATTGAAAAGTACTCACTAAAATACAGTGCATAATTGAAATACTACCAAATGCATTTAAATTTAACAACTACTCAAAGGCTGTTCTGATTCTTCTGATTATTTTAATATTAGTCATTCACTTCTAA